AATTTTTCAACGTTTTATTTTATGTCAGTTGTCTTTTATACCTGTACAATTTTCAAATCGACCTTTTCCTGTAAGGCTTAAATTTCGGTGACATTTTCCAAATAAGAAAAGTTTCCTCTCTTAGTTTTTGCCCCGTTGCGCTTGCATATTTTCTAGTCAACTAAGTTCTGCTGCATTTGTCTGAAAGCATGAAAATAAAAGGGAACTCTTTGTGTCAGTTTTAAGCAAAGCACATAATTTCTTTTTATGTAAGCTACTTATATTTATTTTGACATTTACATGACGTTTTATTTATATTGTTGCATGTACTTAACAAAATTCATATCAACGCACAGCTGCCAACTTTTACGATCGTTGAATAAGATTTTACAAAGTGGTAGTTAAACAACAATTAAGTTTGGAAAATTTTTCTAAAGACAAAACTTTTAAGCTAACTACCACGTATTTCGCAAAATATTTTGAAGAGTAGTAGACATTTACAAACCAAAGTTTTCAGAATTTTTGCCAACATTTGAAAATGCTCGCCACTACTAAACTGTTTTTTTTTTCTTTATTTAAAACAAACTGGGTACCTAGGCCGCGCAGCTGCCGCTACCCCAAACATCATGAAAATCATGCAATGAATAAGACATTTTGTTTTTGTGACATTGTGGTACTACTAAACTGAGCAAAGTAGCTTTGCATATGAACTTTTAAACCATTTATGTGTAGTGGTGTGGATAATAAATTTAAACCTGTCAAAAATAATATAATAAAATATTTACTTAGTTAGGGTAAACCAACCAGTGAAGGAACATTTCATATATACTGATTAAAAATAAGAATTAGAAAGTGTTTCTTTAGATTGATTGGTAACAATAGCTTACTGCCAAGCAATAGAATGTCATCTAGCAATGTTTTGGATTACCTGGTCAAATAGACTTCTCTGGAAAAATTTTTGAATTTGTTATTATCGCTGCAACACCTTGTTTCTTGGAAAAAATTATCAGGTGAGTGTTTGTATTTATATGTTTGAAGTGGCATTAATTGCATGTAATAGTTTTATTTTTCTCACTGTGAAAAAGAGAGTTCAAAATATAGTTATTGAAGTTACGTTTCATTTTTTTAAAGCATCATAGCATAATAAAGTACTGAGATAAGGGGGTGTTTATTCACTGGATCACCAAACGATGAAAAACCAGTGTTCCTTTACTGGGTTTTTTTCTAAGTTAATGAAAATAAAAGATAAACTTTAATTTTCTTGTACCTTTAGTGATGTTCCGCATCAAAAGTATGCTAAAAATACTAAAAAGAACTTCTAATCAGTGAGGGAACAGGCATGTTCCTTTACTGGGCATAGATTTCCCAGTGAATGAACAGTATGTGTTAATATGTTGACACTTTAGTTTTCAATTCATGATTACAAAAAAAAGTTAGCATTTTCCAACAAGTATTTATATGTTATAATTTCAAGAATAGGCTGGTTTTTAAATATTTGTAAGGCTTATAAATTCATAAAGAGCATTAAAAAATAACCAAAATTAGGTGTTCCTCTACTGGGTGTTCATTCACTGGTAAGAGCTGTTCCTTCATTTGGTCTTCTTACTACTTGTTACTTGAACCTCCAAAGCTTTAAAACAATACTATGTAAGTTCTCTACTTTTTTTTTACGTAATTTGCAATTAGTAACAAATATGTTGACACTGTCGTTTAACTAAAATTACGAATTTTGAAATTAATAAGATTTTTTTAAAGGCAATCGAAGCTTAAGTGTTCCTTCACTCGTTAATTTACCCTACCATTAAAGTAAATTTTGACAAAGAGCGTTGTAAGCTGGCAGCTTTGCCTAAAGGCATTTCTAAGTATCATTAATCATCATTATCATCGAAATATAACTGGGCGCCTGGGGTCGTTAGCGGCCTTTTTCCATTCATCTTGTATTTAATCTTTAAGGTGGTTCTTTCTGGTAATTGGAATAAAAGGAAAATGAAATATTTTGCATTTTAGTTAAAATTATGTCACTACAAAAATGAGCTGCAATCGGCCTGAGGTTTATGTCTTCTCTTAAGTTTTCAAAAGTAAAAATTTCATTGAATCCTGCGGTGTCACAATATATGGTCTTTTCAAAAAATCTGAAATTTTGCTTTGCAATGTGATGATCTGAAAAATCTATGTTGAGGTCGCGATGTATGTTTTTATTGCGGATAAACCATCTTGCTTTTGTTATTTTCCTGAGGATTTTATTCTGGCATATTTTGAGTTTTTTAAGAAGTGATGTGGAGATGTTGCACCAAGCTGGAGATGCATAAATTAAGATGGGACGGATCATCGAGATGTAAAGTAAACGTTTAAGTCTGAGTTCCATTTTAGGGTTCTGAAGAAGGATTTGTAATCTGTGGCAGGCTGTTTGTGCTTTGTTGATAACTGTTTTGACGTGATCTTTCCAATTAAATTTGCTGTTTATGACCAGATCAAGATATTTTGCTGTTTTGACTATGGGTATCGTTTCGTTAAAGAGAACAACTTGATTTTTGACGAGGATAGTTTTTCTTTTATGTTGAATGATTAGTAGTTTCGATTTTTGGCCGCTCACTTTAAACTTCCAGTCTAGGCACCAGGTTTCTATTTCTGTGAGCTTTTCTTGGAGTTTCTGTAAGGCAATGTTGGGATTTTTGGACTTCACGACAATTTCTGTATCATCTGCGAATAGAGCTGTGATGCTATTAAAATCTTGTCTGTTGATGGGAAAGTCGTAGGTAAATAATATGAATAGTATGGGCCCAAGGATGCTTCCTTGAGGTACTCCTGCTGTTATTTTTCTGTTTGTTGATTTCATATTTTTAAAATTAACTTGAAAGGTTCTATAAAGTAAGTAGGCCTGTATTATTTTAATGCTACCAGATGGGAAAGTATCATTAATCAAAAATAGCTTTTATTTATATATTTTCTTTAATCATTGATTCGTAGTGGTAGTTTAATTTTTTTAAGCTTTAAATTTCATGATTTAATACGCCAAAACGCTGATGTTGCTACCACTTGGGAAGTTATTTTGCAACGGACGTACAAGTTGGCAGCTATATAAACGGTTTTTTAAAACATTCATATTTTCATAAAACGGAAGTAACACAAATGTTTTGATATTTAAATTTATTTTGATGAAGCAAGATAATTAAAAGATATTAAAGTAGAAGTCCATTAGTCCGGCATCCAACAGTCCGGAATGCCCGATAGTCCGGCATCGCTCCGGAAAGTTGTAAAAATTTTGGTTTTCTCCAAAAGTGTGTCTTTAAAGCAAATAAAAACGCTCGAGAGCTATTCGGAAGTTTTCGGGGTAGTTCGGGATTATCCGGAAACGCTCGGTATTGTTCGGAAACAACAGATGCAGTGCAGCTCCGTTAATCAATCACGAAGCGTCTTCGCCATTTTTTTGTGCGTTGTTGTTTTGTGTCCTTTCACATCGCAGTAAACGCAACTTTTGAAACTGCTTATAAAAAAAGTGATTTTCGTTCTAACTGTACAGTGACCGTGTTTTCAAAACTTAAGCCTTCGAGTTCAAAAGGAGAGAAACGAAAACACGTAACACTGACTCCAGTGGCGTACCTAGGGGGGGGGCGGTGGGTGCGGTCCGCACCGGGCGGCACTTGCCTTGGGGCGGCATTTTTTATATTTACTTATAGTTGTAAAAAGCAACTTATTCATTTCATATTTATTTTCTTTCTTGAATAATAAATGATTATTATGATTATTATATTTGGTTTATATAAATTATGATTAACTATATGATTTCGAATATTATTCCTCGGTGTATATAAATGCATTTTAGTGTAAATTTTGAATTCTAATTCAAGAACAAGATAATAATTTTATTTTATTGTATTCATTAAAATTCGTTGAATTCGTAAAAGGATCTTTACGATTTTGTTCGGCAATTTTTCCTAACTAAAATTTTTTGATATCAGTTTATAAATGTCATTTCTTTTGAAAAGTTTATATGATTACTTTGAAGTGATATATCAATATTTTTTTAAATCATCGATTTTTCTTTTGAAAAGCAGGGCCGGCGGAAGGCGGTCTAGGCGGGAAGGCGGAAGACCTAGCAGACCGCCGGTCTGCTAGGTTTGCAAAGCATTAGGGCGCCGGCATAAGAACTATCTTTTTCAAACAACAAAATCTAAACGAGACAAAACAAAAATACTGACGAAGTTACCATTTCAGGAATCGCAAATAGATAAATATAGTCAGTCCGTTTTGAAGAATTGTATTTGGAATGATAAATTGCTTATAAACCATTTTGTTCATTCGCGATTCAATCTTTCAACAGTGAAGAGTGAAACAAATTATTAGGGTGCCAGTGCATTTGGAGAGTTTATTATAGGTAAGTATATAATATTACGTATTATAGATATAGATGTTATTCTAAATGCTATTCAGAGTAGTAAAATGACTTTGCCGTTTTCTATACATAATATACTATTTATTTCGACAAGTTATATTTTTATTATATATCCCTAGGATGAAACGAGTAAAAGAAAGTGGTGCGTCATTTAGAAAGAAAAGGAAGAGAAGGGAGGAAATACAGACTAAAAATACTGGAGCACTACTCAAATATATCTCCCATAAGTCAACTTCTAGTTCTTTTAGTATTGTTGCCTCAAATACGGGCGAAGAAGCAGCCCTCGAAGGCGAAAAAACATTTTCCAATGTTGTTCAAGAGGAAAGACCTGCTTCACACACTGGCGAAGAAGTAGAAAGTTCATCAAGTTCTGATGAAGAATCTGCTGCACAAATTATTCCGTCTATTTCTATGAAAGATTGGATTATGGCCTAACAAAATTGACGACAATACAAGAGTATTTCTGGTACGTCAAGGTCCCTTTGCAATTCAAAATTTGAAAGCCGACTTCAGCGAAGGAGTAAAACGTCCTAATAATACAATCAAAGCCAAAGGTGAAACAAGAAAACTGAATCAGGACTGGTTTTTTCAAATTTTGCCTAATGGCGAAAAGCTCTTAAGATCGTGGATGGTATATTCACCATCGAAGAAAAGTATTTATTGTTTCTGCTGCAAACAGTTTGATAATCTTTGTCAAGCAGGTTTTAATACGGAAAATGGTTTTAACAAATGGTGGAAACTTAATCCCAAAATTAGTCAACATGAGGTGAGTCCACTGCACATTCGATCATATTCCAAATGGAAGGAATTAGAAATAAGACTTGGACGTGGCGCAACTATTGACAAACTACAACAACAGAATATTGATAAAGAAATAAAAAAATGGAAGGAAATTCTAACAAGAATACTTGATATAATTAGATTCTTAGCAAAACAAAATTTGGCGTTTCGAGGACATCGTGAAAGTGTTCATCAGGAAAACATCGATTCAATGGAAAATAGAGGAAATTTTCTTGAGCTTGTTGACTTATTGGCTAAGTACGACCCAGTATTACGAGAACACGTAGTAAAAATTAAGATGGGTAATAAATATAGTATCTCTTATTTGTCGCCGAAGATCCAGAACGAATTCATAGAGCTATTGGGAGGCGCAGTCAGAAAAACAATTATGGATCAAATAAAGCAGGCTAAATACTTTTGTATTATATTTGACAGCACTCCTGACATTTCACACAAAGATCAAACCAGTCAAATTATTAGATATGTAGTTATTGATGGTAGCGAAGTTAAAGTTGTAGAATCGTTTATTGACTTTGTAGAAACTAAAGGAAAAACTGCTGGTGAAATCACAGATATGATTTTAACGAAATTAGAAAATGACGGTTTAGATATAAAAAATTGCAGAGGACAGGCTTACGATAATGCTGCCGTCATGGCAGGAAAGCACAGCGGTGTTCAAACTCGTATTAAAGAAATAAATCCAAATGCAGAATTTGTAGCATGTACAAATCATTCTTTAAACCTGGCATGTTTACACGCAGCTTCTACAGCTATCAATTCCATCACATTTTTTGGAACTATCGAACAGTTGTTTTCGTTGTTTTCTTCTTCCACTCATAGATGGAATGTTTTACTTTCTGTCACTGGTCAAGGTGTTAAACGCAGTGTAGAAACTCGCTGGAGCGCTAGAGCTGCCGCGGTAACTATAGTAAAAAAACATTTTTTTTACATTTTAAGCGCTTTGGAAAAATTGACATCTGAAGAAGAAAATAGTAAAACGAGATCAGATGCTGGAGTATTACTCAATTCTATGCAATCTTTTTCTTTTCTATGTTACCTTCATTTATGGGAACCCGTCCTTTTGGAAATTAATGACGCTCAAAAATACCTGCAAATAAAAGGGTTAAATGTCCACCAATGCCATATAAAACTAAATTCTTTGCAAACACATTTCATGGAACAAAGAGATACGCTAGTACAAAACGCTGTTATAGCAGCCAAAATAATTTGTGAAGAGTTGGAGATATCGACTGAGCGTCGAGTTAGAAGGAGAAAAAATATGAGTGGGGAAAATTCGCGAGACGTGGGGCTATCCTTAGAAGAAGAAGTACGAAGAGAAATGTTTTCATCTATGGACAGAATTATAAAGGAAATAAAAGAACGCTTCGATCAGTTGCATGGCCTTGTAAGAAAATATTCGTGTATAATACCGTGTAACCTACTAAATGAAGAATTTGAATGTCAAATAAATGACTTGATTGACATTGATAAAGAACAGTTCCATATTGAAAGAAAAAGGATCCAGGTTTTTATGGCTGTACCTACACTAAAAGAAGAGGCAAAACATTGGAAAAACGGGGAGAAGGGCCCTCTTGATCTGCTAAAATTTATTCAGCAGTATAGGTTGGAAAATTCTGTTCCCAACATTGTAATTTTGTTAAGAATTTTTTTAACAATTTCAATCAGTGTCGCTAGTTGCGAAAGAAGCTTCTCAAAATTGAAGTTGATAAAAAATTATCTTCGTTCTACAATGAGTCAATTAAGACTACAAAGTCTTGCAATATTGCCAATAGAACAAGAAATTACAAATAATATAAATTTTGAGAGACGCCCGGTGGCTGAGTGGTAGCGCTTCGCGCTGCCGTGCCACAGGTCCTTGGTTCGATCCTTGGGCCGGGCAAGGCCGACTCAGCCTTTCATCCCTTCAGTGGGTCGATAAAATGAGTACCAAGCATGCTTGGGAACTAACACTGGGGGTTCCGCGTTCGGCTGACCACCTGACCGGAACATATGCTCCTGCACCCCAGAGCCCAAGGTCAAGAAAACTGAGATGGGCACAGTCGGCCTTGGCCCTCTTAATGGGCTGACGCGCCACTGAGTTAGTTAGTTATAAATTTTGAGAGCACTATACACGATTTTTCTAGTATGAAAGCTAGAAGAGTAGATATTATATAAATATGTTTACGAGTGCATACAAATATGTCTAAAAAAATTTACTATGTGTATTAATTAATATTGATTAAACAACTTAATAATTTATTTATGTGTATTAATTTATAAAAACCACTATTTGATTGACTTATAATAGAAAGGGCGGCAAACTGGAGATCGCCCCGGGCAGCAAAAGTTCTAGGTACGCCACTGACTGACTCTCAATCAGAAACTAGAAATCATCAAACGGCTAGAAAAAGGCGAGAATAGAAATGTTTTAATGAATGAGTTTAACATTGGCTCATCAACTATTTATGACATTAAAAAACAAAAAGATGAACTAATGAAGTTTGCTTCTCAATCGGTAACAACTGAAAAATTGGCTTTTAGACAAATATTAAAAAAAAAACTGGAGCAGCTAGATAGTGTATTGTTCAAATGGTTTAGTGTAGTACGTTCTGAAGGAAAGCCAGTAACAGGGCCAATGATTGTTGAAAAGGCAAAGAAATTCGGCTAAGATTTAGGAGTTGCTGAAAGTGAATGTAATTATTCCGATGGTTGGCTCAGAAACTTTAAGTTTCGGCATGGAATTCGGAGACTTGATGTAACTGGAAAAACACTTTCAGCAAACCAAAACTCTGCAGAAAAATACAAAGACGAGTTTGAGAAAATCGTGAGGACATTATCAACATTGTAGTTAACCCTCAGCCTACTCAAAATCTTGAAGAAAGTGTCTCAGATGCAGAAACGGAAGAAAAGGGAAAAATCAGCTGGCCATAAGCTGCAGAATCACTAAATAAGTTTATCTCTTTTGCTGAGGCTAGTAATTCAGAAATTATTGATTTCCATATCATTAAAAATAAATTTTATACTAAACGCCAAAAGTCAAGAAAACAAAAAGACATTCGTGACTTTTTTAAATCTAAGTGAAATATGTTTTACAGTACGTATACATATATTATATGAAATTTAAAATAAACTTTGTTGTATGCATTTGCATACTGTATTTGTAGTTTAAATATTAACCTAATTGTTCTTATAATTACTGCCCGATAGACCAGAATTTTCGGTAGTCCGGCACCGAGCCGGTCCCGAACGTGCCGGATTATCGGACTTCTGTAGTAATATAAATATTTATATTTGGATCTATAGTCATTACATAGTACAGTTGTTACCGTGATTAACCGACTTTCACTGGTGAATGTCAACAATCACATAGTCGCGTTGGTGATAGTCAGATTCGATATTAATTTATTCGTTGATATTATTATATTTATTCGATATTTCAATATCTGTTGAGGATAGATTAGGAGAAACATCAGTATTCGGAAAACCGGTTAAATGTATACTGGGCAGTGGCACTTGGTCTTACAAAAAACATTGATGTAGGGCATACCGGGCAATGGTATTGAACCTTAAAAAAAGCCTGATGTAGGCACGGGGCAATTGTTTACCGGGCAGTAGCGCTTAATTAGACCTGCGTTAATTTTCACTTAAGTTTCAAAAAATATTGCAGGTTGTTCACTTCCCTCGGTGAATATCGACAACAGCTAAGTCGCTTTGGTAAATGTCCGAAATATATACTAGGTCTAGGTAAGAATACCACTGCCCGGTATAAATTTGCCCGGTATGCCCTACATCAATGTGATTTTAAGGTTAAGTGCCACTGCCCAGTATGCATTCACTCCAAAGACTGATGTTTCTCCTAATCTACAACTGACTGAGCAAAACTCATAGGATACCCACCTAATACCTGGTCGGGCCCCCTCTGGCCCTGCGGAGTGCAGCGATACGGCAAGGAAGTGAGTCTGCAAGGCTCTGAAACACGTTCAGAGGTAGTTGGCACCACACATCCTGCAGAGCGGCAGCCAATTGTGGCCTGTTCGTGGGTTGAGGATTCAATGCCCTGAGCCTGACGTCGAGGGCATCCCAGATATGTTCAATGGGGTTCATATCAGGACTTCGAGATAGCCAATTCAGTCGTTGGATCTCACCTGCATGCTCGTCGAACCAGGCACGAACGATATTGGCGCGATGTGGGGCTGTGTTGTCGTCTTTATACACCCATTCCATTCCACGAAAATGCACCCACACCATGACTGATAGGCCACCGGCCTGGACTGTGCCCACTTGGCATGCTGGATCCATCGCTTCGTGCGGTGTGCGCCATACACGGTACCTCCCATCATCATGGAACAATTGATAACGTGATTCGTCAGACCGGATCACGTTACGCCACTGTTGCAGTGTCCATCCGTGGTGATTGGTGGCAAATGCACGCCGAATTCTCCGATGACGCTGGGTTAGCAGTGGCACACGTGTGGGGCGACGGCTCTCATACCCGAGAACACGCATGTTCCCACGGATTGTCCACTGGGACGCGTCTCTATCACGGCCAGTGTTGAATTCAGCCGTGATTTGTTGCACATTTGTTCTCCTATCTCGAGTTACCACTCGTTTCAGGTTTCGCCTGTCTCGGTCATTTAGGGGCTGTGGACGCCCGGTATGGTGTCTGTTGTGGACTGTGACACCCTCATTCACCCATTCTCGGTAAACTCTCGACACGGTTGACCTTGGAAAGCTGAATTCCTGAACCACTTCCGAAATGGAATGTCCCATGCGTCGGGCACCCACAACCATGCCGCGTTCGAATGCCGTCAACTCACGACGATGCTGCATTTTACCTGATCACTCACACAGCCACTTCAAGCAATGTCTAGCACACAACTGAGACAGTCGCGGAGGCCACCAGGTGGCGTTGGTCACACGTGCTGTCCATCCACAAATCAGAGCCCTGCTATCCCATGAGTTTTACTCAGTCAGTGTATCTTCAGCAGATATTAATTCAACTAATAAATTTATATCAAATCTGATATAACAAATATTTCGGACATTTGGCAAAGCGACTATGTGATTGTTGACATTCACCGGTGAAAGTCGACATTCTCTTGATTTCGGTCATTCACAGTAGCATATATATTGGGTCCTCTGGGAAGTTCGTGCCGATTTTTGATAAGTGGAGCTCCCTGTCAAGTGGTAGCCAAACATATACTATAAAGTTCATTTCTTGCTTTTTTTTTCTTTTTAAATAGATTATTAAGTTTTCTTGATCACCACAAAGATTTGGAACCCTATAGCATTCATAGAAATCTGAAACATGAGAGATAACTATACTCGAAAATGAGGTGGTTGCAAAATTAGGAAAATCTCGGATTGCTTTGATGTTAGCTACCCTTCTTAGGCTGATCTACGAGAGCTCCACCTGTCAAAAATCGTCACAAACTTACAAGACGACCCAATATATAAAAATATANGGAATTGCAGGACCAGTTGGTGAGCGCTTGGTACCAGATACCTCAAACTACCTATCAGCACCTTGTGGAATCAATGCCACGGAGGGTGCTAGCAGTTTTGAGGGCTAAAGGTGGTCTTACATGTTATTAGCATGGTGATCATAATGTAATGGCTCTTCGGTGTATATTTATAATACTACTTACAAAACGTCCAGCAGTCTCTCAAAATTATTTTATTATGCTGGTATATAAACTTTTATCTTGAAATATATTACATGTTTTTAAGAAGGTAATACAAAACATTCCTGATCTCTACCATAATTCGATAACTCAAACACATATAAAGAATTATGTTATGAATAAGGTGAAACTTGATAGCATTTACAGAGATTCAAACTTGCTCTAGATAGCGGATAAATATTTTTGAGTGGTACTCCTTCAATGAAAAATTCTTAGTTAAGCAAATTCGATAAATAGGGTTTTTATTCCCTACTACTTCTAAATAATTCAAATGCTTATGTGACGCGCTCTTTTGTTAACAGTGAAGGAGGAAATCTGTAAATGGACATAACCGGAAATCTGTAAATTTTTGTTTGTAGATCTTTTTACTTTTTTTTTATTCTTAATTCTTCTTTTTTTTTTTTCTTTTTTTTTGGCATATCGGGATTAGTTGGCATCTCTGGTTAAAACATAAACTAGCTACCACCAGAAAAATCTTACCATAAAGCGCACGGAGTTGGCAGCCCTGCGGATATGTATTTATTGATTACAATTCGTTCAGACTTTCCTTGACTCAATTTTTTCATTGAAGCGGCATGCCCTAAAAGGGTTAAACTAAGCTTGTAACTCCCAATGTGACGATCACTAGATTCCTGAAAAATACTCCATACGCATTACTCCATATTTTAATTTGACTATAAATATATTTTATCCAGCAATCCCCTGAAGCTATTATAGTGGTATCATATATTCATATCATATCATATATCATATTTCATCTTTTTAAAAAATAACATTTATGTGTAGTGAATTCTTTTATTTGTAATGTATTTTATTTTATTTTATTGCATTATTTTAGGTACTTTTAAGCTTTGTCATTAATTAAAATAAATCTTGTAGAGAATAAGTAATCAGGACAATATTTTTAGACTAAAATTGGTTCCACTTTAATTTAACTTGTTTTTTATTAACAGCAATTGTTTATTTAATTGTAGCCCTATGATAAACTGGGACACATTGTCCAAACTAGCCCCTTGGGAGTGGTGAGGACAAAGAAGTTATATTTTTTAAGAAAAAAACTTTAAAAAAATCTATATATCCAAATTAGAGTGAGTATCATTTAAAAGAAATTTTAATAGAAAAAAATACTAGATATGTTATGTTAGATATGATATGTGTTTCCCAAATGAAAGTGTCATAGCTGTAATGACTCAGCCATATAAGTAACTTATAAGAAGTCATAAAAAAGAAGGCATAAGATTTTATGGCTAATTTGTCGTAAAAACTGCCACTGTATTTTGCCATTAAAATTGCCATTCTATATTGCCATAAGAACTTATGTTTTTATGGCAAATTTATTAAAATCGTTTTCATAAAACTATCATTGTCTCTTTCCTATATGAAAAGTACAAATTATAGTCTAAATAAACTATTAAACTTGAAAAATAACGTTAAATTTATATTAATCTAGTCATTTTTTTCATATTTGATATAGAACCTGTTTCAAACTTATCATTATTAAATAAATAAATATATTAAATAATTTAAGACTGAGAAATTATTTCATAAAAATCCGTAATAAATATATTTTTTTTACTAACTATCTTTAAAAAAATTTTATCAACTTCAATAATCACTAGCCGCCGAATAAGTGATTGAATTTATAAGAAAAATTTTTTTTTAATATTTTGAACAAAATTAAAATAAATTAATGAATTTAATAAAATTTGTAAAGTATCAAGCTTTTCATATTAGAAATGGAAGTTGTTTTTTGGCCTATAAATAACGCTATAAAGGCAAATTAATTTATAAATTGAGGAATAAACTCCAAATTTCAAAAGAATCCTTCATAAATTTAACACTAAAAAATTTTAACGTTTTTAATTATCACGTTCAGTCGAATTAGTAATTTAATATACGTGAAAAATTATTACACAAAAACTAAAATTATTAAACTTGTAACGAAACTGATTAAATGAAAATTTATATTATACTTTCAAGGCAT